GGTTGGAGGTTGGGGGATTCATTAAAACTGCTCCAACATTCCACCAGACAAACAGAATTCCAGTATTCCACCAAACCTGGGACAGGCTTTAACCTGGTTCCCACCCAAATTTCTAACCCAAACTGGAGCTTCTCTGCTTCCTCTTAACTCATTTCTAGCACAGGTAAAACCCCATGTGAACTCAACCCTTAATAAACACCCAGTGTCATTTTAAGTTAAACACTTTCATACTGAATAAATCACATTATTTGGCTCCAGGAGAATCAGAACCATGATACAACTGGTACGTGTTCATTTCTGAAAGGTGGCAAAAAACCGCAAGATTCAGGTAAATATAAATATATTCATATATAAATAGATATATTTATAAATACATATATATATTTACAAATACATATATATATTTACAAATACATATATATATTTATATATATTTATTGCTTCATGTGCAAAAACCCCTGAAATCTGCTCTGAGGCGGGTCAGGTTTCTCTGCAGACACATCCCACTGCTCCTGCATTCCTGGGGAAGTGCTCAAGCTGCCCGTGCCCATGGAAATGCAAACTGAAGAGCCTGAGTGCTGCTAACGACCTGTTCCCAAACACCCACCCATTCCCAAACACCCACCCATTCCCAAACACCCACCTGTTCCCAAACACCCACCCATTCCCAAACTCCTGACACCAGTTCGTGTCCTGGGGTAATTAAAGCCACACATTCGGGCACCTTTGTCTCAGGATTAGTCTGGGGACAACCAAACAAACCCAGCACGCACATCCCAAAATGCAGCACGTCCCAAAATGCAGCACATCCCAAAATGCAGCACGTCCCAAAATGCAGCACGTCCCAAAATGCAGCACGTCCCAAACTCCAGCACGTCCCAAAATGCAGCACATCCCAAAATGCAGCACATCCCAAATGCAGCACATCCCAAAATGCAGCACGTCCCAAATCCAGCACATCCCAAAATGCAGCACGTCCCAAATCCAGCACATCCCAAAATGCAGCACATCCCAAAATGCAGCACATCCCAAAATGCANCAGCACATCCCAAAATGCAGCACATCCCAAATCCAGCACATCCCAAATCCAGCACATCCCAAATCCAGCACATCCCAAATCCAGCCTGGCTGGCAGGGACCCCAGAGTGGGCAGAGGAGCCTGGGCAGGGCCCCAGGAGCCTGGGGAAGGGATAAATCCTGTCCCACTCTGGGATTCCCGCGCTGGGCTGGCCCAGGACAGCCCGGAGGGGCAG